GGGCAATGTTAACTAGTTCATCATATGTCCCACTGCCATTAAAGAGAACAATGTAATCGAGATTTTTTCTTATTAGTCAAAGAAGCTCTGTGTCACATATATCGAACTGATATTTTTGTGCTTCCCCTCAGTAAAATAACATGCTATTTTATCTTGTATTTTTTAAGGTTCTGTACATACATCTTCGAATACAGCTACTGTCCCTCTTTCAGAGGAGAAATCATCAACTTTTGGCATTTTATCAGGTTTCATTGCTCGGAATGCAACATCTTCACGATATGGTTTAGGGTTATTCGCAATTATTTTATAGCAATCTCGGAGATATTTATACTTGGGCTCATTAATTTGATGACCAATCAAAACTAAATCATCGTTCTTAATATATCTCGTTCCGCCTTTTTTCCCACTAAACAATTGATGCATTTTATTTCCAAGTAAAAGGTTGATAACTTCGTTAGTTTTTTCAGATCTGGTTCGTCCACTGACTAATAAGTTGAAAGGCCATTGAGGGGTACTATTTAATGAGTTAAATCTCTCTATATTTTTGTATTCGTCAATATTCAAAACCATCCTTTCAACAGGGCCAAGTTTTTCTATTTTCATCTTGATCAAGCTGTCACTAATTATTATATCAAAAAATAATGGCACAGATGCTACTTATTCCTAAACAAAATTATTGTTTATCGTTTTTGATTATAAATTAAGTACTACATATTACATAGCAATATAAAATGACTGAACTTCGTGAACAACTTTCCGAATTTATAGGTTTCAAACCTGATGAGAATCGTTTTCCAGAAACAGAGAGAAATAAACGACTATTTCGAAAAATTATTGCGGATCAAAGAATGGCAAGCAATATTGTATTAGATAATTTTCATTTCTTGCTCCGTACTGGATATAATGGTAAAGGAGGTCGATTAATACATATCGGGTGGTTAATATGTGTAATACGAAAAGAATATGAAAAAGTTTTGTTAAACATCCCTCATGACATTACTAATAAGATCATAACGCATCTTCAATATAAATTCAAAGATATTCCATTAGCACCAATAGTAAGGTATCCGATTATCCCATCGCAATTAGATTCAGAGTGTGATATTATTTAACCATGCTAGCTATTGAGATGGTATCAATTATCGTGTTCATTAATAGCCGTATTGTTTAAATACCCTTTCTTAATCAATTCACTTTTGATATAGGGAAATAAATCACATGTATAAGGCACTTCGATAAGATCTATACCATGTCTTTTACATTTATTGGTCGCGCATCTGTTGACTGTCTAGATCATTTTGATTTTTGTGGTATAAACTATTGCAATGATAATGTTGAGGCCCCTGGAATTCGAACGCTAATTTTAGCTCTTCGTTATATCCGTCTAATTGCATCCCATCTAAAAATGACGGTTTACAAGATGGAAATTTCTTACCTAGCAGATCTTCGAAAATATATCTACATCTTCGCTCATCGGTAAAATGTGGACAAACTGGGCACCACTCGAATTTACGCTTCTGGGTCTTGTAAGGCGCTTCCCATTGGTGGAGTCCATTTTCACAGGACCAAAGATATACATCAAAATTATTTATTCTCATAATACAATTCCCACCCCGTTTCTTCGCATATTGTTGCGCTTTAGCCATTTTATTAATAATACGAACAAAATTAACAGACCTGGAACGAGTATTTTCTTCCAATATACTCTGGGGCGGATACTGAAGCGTATCAATATTCACATATAAGAGTTCCTCTCTCACAAATCCACGTTTTGGAGGATATTCATCGTCATCATCTCCGAGATAATATAAAACTGGTTCATTTTTTGTTACTACGATTTTTCGAATTTTATGAAGGCTTGGTGAGAATGTCGGGTCTGTTGCGCGTTTCTGATTCTCCATACCTCCTTCCCACTCTGCATTAGCAAGCAGATAGCGAACTGTATCACCTTCTTCAACCTATTCTCCTCATATTTTCCAACAGGACGCTTATATTTTGTAGATGGCCGAGATTCAACCTTTTCTAATTTAATTGCTTTTATAGGTGCTAATCCCCATTTCTTCGATCCGGGAGCTCTAATAAGACGCGTTGGATAATTATTTAAGTAATCGATAACTTCTGGCAAATATTTAACCCATGCTCTTATTAATTTAGAATTTTTAGATATTGATTTGACGGCATACTGGGATTTTATAAAGCATCTCTGCTAACGTCTTACAGAATCTGTCTACAATTGCGAGTCCCCGATGACTATAAGTGCCAATCACTCGAATTGTGACATCATGTGCTTCCATTAATCGAGCAGTTTCGCCCATGAATTCTTTACCACCATCACATTGTAGAAGTGTTGGGTATGTAAGAGAATTATTGGGATTTTCTTGAATGCTTTAGCAACTTCTGAACTATTCTTCGATGTGAGAGGAACAGCGTATTTAAAACGTGATGCAACGTCTATAATGGTGAGTGCCCATTTATATATCTTTTTATTAACAATATCGTTTGTAAGGCGCAATAAATCGCACATATGTACACAATTGGGACGTGAAATTTTACCATAACTAACTCGTGAAATACTTTTCTGTGACGGAGCATACTTTTGCCATTCATTCTGATTATGCAACCATTCACAAACTTTTTTATACGGGAAATTATTTCCTTCTTTTTTACATGCATCTCTTAAAGCTTTTGCATTGGAATGATAGCCAGTAGGTCGGTAAAAAAGCAATTTACAGATTAAGTTTAACTCTTCATTTGGGTCGATTCTAATAATAGGTTTGCTCAATTTACTCATTTTTGATATTATTCATTATAGTAAAAAATTATGTTTAGCCCTTTTTTCCTCCTTATCTCAGAAAAAGATGTATATATTACTAGTATACGCTATCTGCCTTTTTCTGGCTTCGAGAAATTATTGCGAGAAGGCGGGGTATAATATGCCGTAAAAAATAGCCATGGCATTTCGTAGACCCCGACCCCCCAATCTAACAGCTCATAGATTATCTACAGATAAAGAACTCGAGCTGGAACAAATTAACCAAGAACTCCAGGAGATATTGCAATCAGAGGTAGCCATCAACAAATCGAATGAAAAATATATAAAGGATCTGGAACGTAAATATATCAGATGTGAGAATGAAATCCAATCTCTCAAGAAAGAACTGGAACGGCTTGAAAATGTTTCAGGGCGGAGTTGAGATCGTAAATATTATTCCTTAAAAAAAGCTTATATCAAGCTAAAAAGGAGATCCGAGACAAGATATCTTATATTAGATATCGATAATATAGAGAAACAATTACAAGAATTAGAAGAGCGGATTCAAAATCTAAGGCATAGATTCAAAGTTATTTATTCTCAAAGAAGCTCTCCAGTTTATATAAATCAGAAGAAGAAGATATGGCACATATAGATCCCTTTACAAATATCACTAGGGGTTAAATCGACTCGAAAATCATTTTAGAGGTGGTACACCATTAATCAATCCTATCAGAATTATCGAAGGAATTCATGGCACTTTAAATACTATTCGGGCTAATTATCAAAGAATAGATCGGGATTTAGATGATATTGCAAATCAACGAGATGATAGAGATAATCAGATAGTCTAGTTACAACGGGATGTCAATTTCTATAGACAACGGAATATCGCTTTGCAAAATCAAGTTAATCAGCTTACCCAAAATAATTTTCAGGATCAAGTCAAGCAGATTACCCAAGAACGAGATAACTTACAGAACCAAGTTAATCAAATTATCCAAGAACGACATAACTTACGAAATCAAGTTAATCGTCTTACTCAAGAACGTGACAATTCTCAGAATGATCTTACTTTAATGACAACAGCTTATAATAATGAACAGGAGGAACGTCGTCGCTGGTGGGGGGTTGCTCAGAAATTGGAAACAGGAATGCAAACACGTATTGATGCTTTATTACTTGATAAGTTTGCACTTAATTTTAAACTCAGGAGTCGCAATAATAATGATAGGGTTTTCCTACAATTTTGGTATGATCGTGTTGTTCCAAGGTATGAAAAATGGAAAAATAAAACTCACGATGCTAGACAATTAATTTTAAATTTACAAGCCCAAATTTTATTACTACAGAATAATCAACCTATAAATCTGAACATGGCGGCCGCCGATAGACAACATATTTATCAAACTATTCAAACGAGTCTTGCCCATGTTCCATCATATATTGGACAGGAACCACCAGATGATTATTGTAATAGGATTGAAACAGCCATCAGCTATACTGATACAATGATTGTTGATGCTAATACTGCAAATGCGATACTTTCACTGATGCACATAAGGCAGATATCTATAAATCGAAAAATGGCAGGAAAGTATTTACCAGTTCCAGCTCAGCACGCAGGAAATGATATTAATACTCCAGCTCGCTTTAAAGCATGGCTTGGAGATACCTATCTACAAAGAACAATTGGTACTCGCCAGTCTGCTACTCAAAGATTATCTCAAGAAACATTTAAGGCTGATGATAATCCAGAAACATATGAAGCTAGAATTCGTCAATATCTATTAGGTGTGCCTGATAATGATGCTAATGCTTTGGGATTTCTTATAACTCATCTACTTTCTGAGCTTTTCATTCGGATGGAAGGAGTAAATCCTGGCGGAATCACAGCTTTCTTCAATTCACTTAAAGAATTATGGCTCAAGCGTCAACCATCACTTGGCTATAGAGATTCAATCCCCAATCAAATTCCTCAAACTCCAGCTGTTAGTATACAAAATAAATCACATTCTAATAATAGTAATATAACTCGAGCTGAAATAGATAGTACAGTCAAACCTGTTTATACCGGACGGTTTGGTCCAGCTCTTAGCGTCCGGTATAACGAGATTCCGGTATATGTACAGTGCCCTCCAATAAATGAGTGAGTAACACAAAATTTTGCAAATTATACATCAAGTTCGCGCGCATGTAAC